AAACTCAACAATTAGCAGACAGAAACTAATGTTATCTATAATAGCTAGAACTAGATTTATTCCTTTGTTTTACTACCCTTTGAATTGACTGAGGTCATTAAAGGGAATATTTAATCTGTTGAATTGACGTATTTTTTTAAGGCCTAACTAACCTTTGAATTTTTACATGTGCTTTCAGAATCCAAAAAGTGGCATAACTCCTCGAACCACAACAATGACTTTTACCTGTTTTGTGTTTTTTGACCTCTTCAATGCCCTGACATGCCGCTCTCAGGTAAGATTGCTCTGTCAGCAATAATTTCTTGTCTCAAAACACTAACGTAAACATCAGAGAACTAGTATTTTGCCTAGGAAGGATTTTTAAAAATGTCATTTAAAGCAACATGATTTTTATCGTCTTTATTTATAAAGTCATCCACCATAGCTCAACTGCAACTACACTTTCAACTATGTAGCTCTGCCTAAGCTAGCATTCATGTAACTTCAAAAAATAATGGAGTTTACATGCAAAGAAAGTGTGACATTCGAGTACCAACAGGAGATTAGGAAATGTTACATTTCTCTTTTTTTTTTTTTTTTTTCTTCCCTTCCCCGTTCTCTAGACAAAGTTGATATTTGAAATAGGCTTTTTTCGAAACCGCATGTTCTTGTATTCTGTGCTTGGCTCATTTTTGGGACAGCTGGCTGTTATATACATCCCTCCGTTACAAAGGATCTTCCAGACAGAGAATTTAGGAATGCTAGGTAAGTTGCAAAATAAGTAATGTGTTTTTTTTCATTAAAGCTACTTTAAAAAGCAGATGTGATTGCCAAATTTTTACATGGTAGCTCCCAACAGATCACTGGTAGGGGAAATCAATCAACAGCTCCTATATCTATACACATACACATAGCTATACACAAATAGTAGTAGTATTTAATGATATTATCCCAGTCTAGGTTTTGAATTTTTATTTACTGCACATAAATGCATGTAAATGGAGACATGCCAAGATTTTCCATGAGCTCCGTATGATGACATTTCTCTACATAAATCTATCTAGGATCACTGTACAGTCGCTCCGTTTTGAAAAAGCAGGGTGAATGTTTCCAAGCTGAAATGCAATGTTTATTTTGCCATTTGAATTAGTCCAAGCAAACTCTACCATACTACATCGTATTGCATCTACATTAGGCACGTTGTTAGAAGCAGGGTTCAACCATCCCAAATGAGATGGTTAATGTAGAGGTTTCCACCCATCAATTGGACTATACCAACTATGGGTCTTCCTTGTCTACCGCAGTAATTTCTCTAATTCTGCAGCTGGCAAAAGCATAGCTAGGCCATACATCTACGGAGTTACACCAGCACAAATATCCACTGCAGGGAGGCCCTTAACTGGGGATTCCTGCCCAGCACAAAATCCAGCTGTCCACTGTGTTCATCTCCGCTCTGTTTCCTCTCGGCAGACCTGCTGTTTCTCACCGGACTGGCTTCCTCAGTTTTCATTGTGTCTGAGTTCGTCAAACTCTGTGAAAAACGTTGCTGCCGGCCGAAGCACACAAAGGGATGTCATAACTGATGCAAACTTCCTCTAAAAATATACTTGGAACGGAGCTGTGATGCTGGATGCACCAAATGCACCATTTTCTGATGCTGCACGTCCTTTCCGAAGATACTCAAGTGAATCTGTACTGACACTCCTTCCTACTCCAGAGTCTCTTCCTTCTACACGCTCTACCTGAGCTGTTTGAGCTGTCTATAGAAACCTCCGGAGCGGCTCCTGTTTTAAACCAAGATCAGGTATATTTTTATAACATTGATCTATAGGTCAAGAATGCTGTGACAGTCCCAGAAAAAATAATGCAGTTTCACACCTGTACAGAAAAATCTATTGTGCATAAACTGAAATTTTATTTATTTAACTCTAAATGATTTTTATTAATAAAATCTACATTTTAAAATGTTACAGATAAGTAACAAGACTCTTGATTTAGATCCGTCCTTTTATATTAAATTAGAAGAACGGAAAAGACCTCCCTTCACTAGCACTTCTTTTCCTGTAGTCATCCATAGTGTTTCTAGATTCCCAGATATCTAGCCTTGATTCAGAAAAACTGTAAAGGCAACTGTGGAGAGATGTCAAACAAAGAGTAAAGACCGAAAGTGCCAACCCTCAGCTGTCAGCTTTTGCCGAACACTGCAGTGATTTTTTTGTACCTATATGACTAACAGGAGCAAAGCAGAAGGCTGATCTGATCTGATGCACAGTAGTGGATGGATTTAATGGGAAAGGGACTCACTTGCACAAGTGCATGAGAATAAAGGTGACTCACATACATAGCAGGGATGTTAAGCTTTGCAGTTGGATCAAGAGTTGCATAAAAGTGATTGAGACATTAGATTAGATCATAGCTAAGCCCACTGCTGACAAAGGCTTTCTGGACATTTTTAGATGCATGAACACGAAGCACAGATTGCTTAATCATTAGGTTCAGCAAAAAAAAAGTTGAGTCTCTTCCAAGCCAATCTTCTACATTTAATGAAAAATTTCGAATAATCTCATCTGCTGGTTGGATCAGTAGTTTCCTAGTGAATAATGCTTCGCTGATACATTTGGTAAGAGTGCTATAGTGTCAGTTTTCTTCTTGCCCCAGCTTAACACCTTCACTTCAAAGTGAAATGAAGAGTCTCAAATACAAACTTGTCATAAGACACAATTTCAGAGGTCAAAATGCTATGCTGATCTTCACAAGACGATGTTTAAACAGGATTACATTTTGGATTCATAGCCTAGAAAGAACCAGCTATACTGACACTTTAAATTCAGAGAAAACTTGGCCACTGAAATATTTTTGGTGGAGTAGCTTTGTGCAATTCACCCTCCCCGGATATAGTCTGAAAAGGTGTCTGCTCACTATTTTTTTTAAAAATCCTTGCAAATGGTTTCAGTCCTCAAAGAAAAGTCTCTGCCTTGTAATGGAAGGAAAAGAAAGTCTAGATGTTTATTTTATGTGTAACTACAGAAATTCAACTATGTCTCATTCCTTTATGTCATCCACTTCAAGTATTTAGTACGCTTAGTCAGTGCCTAAGTGAAGAATACCTCTGAGACTTATGGTGGGAGAACGTTAAAACAAAAGCCAGCATCACCACACTTACAGAGAACATCATGTACTTACTTACTGTCCATATAGCACTCCCTACTTTGTACCATTTAAAATTCTTATTAAAAATATATAGAGAAGAAAATTATACAAAAGTATCAGTGTAATTGTTTTAATGCTTACATTTTTTCTATGTGTTACAAACTTGGGAAACTGTCTGGTTTATTTAAGCAAATACAAGACAAAAGGGCATTACCTCAGGCCTTTCACAGCATACTCTGTACTGGACTAAATAGCATATATGCCCCAATCATTAGCTCAGGTAGCATACAAAATGCACAGTCAAGTTCTAGGATGTCTGGCTGGAGTGATTTCTTCATGCTCTCCTTTCAAGGCTAAATTCATATTGTTTAATAAAATTTTTAAAAATGGGATCTACATTAAGGCACAAGTGCAGATTATTCAGAATATTCAAATCTGGCTCCCTATGAAAAACATCGCGTTGAAAAAAAAAAAAAAAAGACCACATACAAGAAAATGCGAAGGGAAAGAATTTGAAGGAAGGCCACATGATCAGGAATCACAGCAATTTTATAGATTGTTACAGCCCATTTTTTGCTCTAAGCTGCGTGAAAGACAAACTCATGCTAGGACAAAGGGGACTTGATACAGTCCTCCTTAGGAGGAGGAAGACTGACAATATTAGTATACATACTAATAACGAAACACAATTTGCTGAGTTAGAAATGACAGTCCCTGATAGAAATTAGGGTAATTTTTGACAAGTTAATTCCACATAGAATTAGTAAGGTCAAACTAATAATTACTGATAAATGTGAACGGATTCAAGTACAAAAAGCCCTGAGTATACGAGACCTGACAAAACTGGCGCTGACTGGTGAACAGCCAACAAAACAGAGCAAAACCCCCAACCCATTAGTTACATTTCACATTTTTCCATAATACAGTAATGATTAATTGTGTAGAAATAGTGTATACAGCAGTCATCTTTAAACATGTTACAGACATAACCCTGATTTCTTCTCTTCACAAGGTATCTGCAGACACTATTCCCAATTAACTGTGGATGCTTCTTGCTTGATCCTTTTCACAGCCTGATCTTTTACTCATCTCAAGTGAGGCTACTAAAGAAGGTACCTTCCCTAGAGAATTTCTGCTGGAGGTATGGCCCATTCTTAGGACAAATATGGCTGAATGACTCCCAATGGCTCTGTTCTGTTAAAAAGCCATAGGCAAATTCCTGCAGAAACCTCTTAAGCAAAATGTACTAAGGTGTAGTGTAGTATTATAAAACTGGATACTGTATATTTAGCATTCTGTACATCTTACAGCCCTTATAGAGTCACTTGCTGAAAATCTGACTTAGAAAACATGAAATTTAATGCTTTAACTGGAGCAATGCAAATCAATAGCATCCTTCATACGGAATCACATGGACTATTCTATGTTTATCAATGTAAGACATCATTAAAATTTGCTGACTAATTTAATTGCATGCAAATAAATATGTGCAGTCGAGGTATAAGAGCCTTAATCAGTGTCTTGTACAGTCTTTATATAAATACATACCAATTCTCCAAGTCAGTAAGCCGTACTGTCAGTAACTTGGTCTTTTGTCTTTAAAGGATGCAGACAGGATCTATCAGGAATGCTAGCAAATTCATATTCAGCTAGAACTTAGATGTCTAATGATTAAGTACCTAGTTAATTTTTCTGTCCTCCCCAAACAAAACCCTTCAGGCAGGATAGTGTATTGGACCTAAATATTATATAAATACGAGGCTTAAGCTTCATCCCAGATAATTAGGTAAATGTAAGGAAAAAAAATGAGGAAAAAATATCCTGTCCAAGGAACATTAACACTCAGGAGCAAAAAAACTCATGTTACTGTGATTCTTTTAGTTATCATCATCATTGTCGTCCTCTTCAATGGGTTCTCGTAGACCTTCGCTCTGACGACTTTTTCCAGCCATTTCTAATAAGGCCTGAGCCTCAGGATCTATATCCAGGATACTCTTCTTACCTTTTGTCTTCAAAACAAAATAAAATATAGTCAATTTAAAATGTCATTATGAATGAATCAATATCAGGCTACAAGAAAGAGGCATACGCAAAATTCCACAAGTAATCCAGTTTGCAAGCTTGTCACAATGAAGCATATACAATTTCCAAGTAAGACATTTAAGATTCACTGGGATACATCAAATGATTTTTATTGCTGCAGTTACACAAAATAGTCATAAACTTTTCCTACGATGATAGTGAACTATTTCAAGTTTATTCAGGTTACAAGCCAGGCAAAACATCGTGGTTAACCTGACCTCAGTTTGAAGTGCAGACGTGAACTTTTTTATAAAGAAGAGATTCAAGTACAATTCAACATTTTTTGTAAACAATTTGTTCTGTTTCTATTTAGAGCTATGTGTCCTCTGAACAGACAGAGCACACGAATTTAGTATGAAAAGAAATAAAAATTAAAAAAAAAAAAACACCACCAAAATATGCAGACCAAACAGCTTAATAAGAGAATAAATTACAGGGATAGAAACTGGAAAGATAGAAACTCATTCCCAGAAATAAACCAGGTGCAAAAAGACTAGCATAAATCTATTGACATAAATTTACTGTAAAACTATAGTAAATTTAAAGTTACTCATGACGAAATCTTTTGGGTTCTCTTCCTAAACTATAGATTAGGCTTTACTTGTGAGCTTCCAGTGCTTGCTTTCTGTTTTACAAATACTGGGTTTTAATGAACCCCTCCAAGGAGGTTCCTTCTGGAGACCATTCCTCGATATCAGAAAGGCCTTTTGAAATTCAGAATAAAGTTCAGCTCTTCTGACTATATCATTTCATTGCTCCTGATGTTATTTCTTGTTGGCACCCTCAATAATGCCACTACTGTTTTGCCATTTACTTGCTACAAAATACATGGCATCACAGGGCCAGTTAAAGAAAACGTTATTCATTACAATGGAGAGACAGTGTTTAATCAGAAAACTGCAACTGCAAGTTTTGCATTTGCATCTCCTGTTCCAATCAGGACACAATTTCACAGGTTTCAATTTTGTTCACCTACCCCTGCACTTTCAGGGAGGTCTCCCACTGCCCAAACTTCCATGGCATCCAGTGTAAAATCCTCTTTAGCTGACAGCTGGGGACTGTTGTAGGTGGTACATCGAGGTTTTGCTTTACTATGTCCCTTCCCATAGTCACTGTCTATCCAGAGTCCGAAGTAACCATGTTGTCCACCCATACCCTGCGAACCAAAGCAGCACACTGAACACTTGCTGCACATGTAAAACAGACTGGGCAAGTTTCGAAACCTAGAGTTTAAATTGCTATTTTCAGTATTTATGCTACACTTCTAGGGTAGGTCAAAAAGGGTATTCCGAGTGAACATGGGCTTCTGTACCAAAATCCAGTATTCCTGAAGACAAACAAGAATTTACCTGAGTGATACTGTCCTCCCTCTACACTTTACAGAATACCAGTATCTGCAAGCACTTCAGCTGCATCTTGTGCCAGAAACTTAGCTGACTGGCTTTTGTTTATTGACTACAGTTCCATTTTAAACAGGGTGAAAGTGCTCGGTTTTGCTGCCTCTTTTCCATTTAGAAAAGTATCTACAGAAACAAATAATGTAATTTGATGTTGTTTGCTTTCTTTGGAGCAAATTTACTCCAGACTGCTGCAATTCCCAAAGTTATGGACACAAAATGCCACAAAACTGTAAGGCACTTTTCAAAATAGGCAATGTATTGTAGCTCTGTAGAAATGCCTCTGCATCTGGAGAGCTCACTCGTGGACTTGAGTAAAAGGAGCTTCTGCCACTGTAATTACACAACAGCGGCAGCCTACATGCAACTCTTGCACTCTAATTCTGTTGGGCTTTCTCAGCCTTCCATAATTTAAAAAGCAGTTAGTGTGGCAGTGAGAACAGCCAGTGGAAGGATCCTCAATTACATAGATCAGCTAGCTTGTGCTGCTTCAATGATGTGGACACATGCAGTCAATTCTTCCAGACAAGAGGGAGGACTGCTACAAGGGCTTCTGTGATAACCAAACTTGGCAAAAGGATTTCTTCCCAGAACCTCCATAAATCTAACCTACATAAAGCCCACCTACTTGGGTCAGACACAAATAAATTCCGTCTTAGTTGATGCTGTACTTCAATATACATATCAGCTGTAAAGAAAAGTATAGACTCCATCAGTACTGTAAGCAGTTCTCCATCGTTATCCATAGTTCACACTTTTTGCTTTAACGCAAAAAAAGAAAAAAATCCTCCTACTAAAAGTGTGGCACAAACAGCACAGAGAAGGATGAAAACTTCCTCAGAGAATAACAAATGAAATAAATCTGCTCACCGTAACAGAAGCAAAAAGCACAAAATACTTCTGAACACCAGCCACGAATCCAATTTCCAAATTGTCAATTCTTAATACTTACAAGTCCATTTGGCATTGTTTGTTGGCCATGGTTCAAATACATATAGTGGTCATTATATCCTGTGTATGTGTATACAGCAAGAGAGGGGAAAACAGAAAATAGAAAGCATCTGTTGTCACCTGTAAACAGAAAAGTATCTGAGGTCAGACAACTGGCCAAGCAATAACTTGACTACAAATAGGGTAGAAAAAAAAAATTGAAGTGCAGCTGAATAAATCAAAGACAGCAGCTGCCATCTCAGAAAGCCAATACCTATGTCTCATCAAGATCTAGGCTTATTGTTCATTCTTAGTTAACTCTGTGCAGGGTCACAGAAATCAATGTGATTATATGGCTGTGACCAAGGGCAGAGTCAGAGGCATGACTAGTACATTACATTACTATGTAAGGGTACACCTATCACGGGCTTGCATTGTATCATCTAAAACTGGCCAACCACTAGACCTGTACAAAGTGATATGAGTGCAGACACCCTTGGTTCTGACTATACAGATATACAGATCAGTTTAGGGTCAATGATTTAGAGTACAATTTTCATTATGCCCAGTTTGGTATTCAGAGGGACCTGTGGTGTGATTGTCTAGTACCCTACATGCGTGATTCTATCAGGAAAAAATACAAGGAAAATGTTGTGTAATCCGTGTAACATAACATTATATTAACTGACTGAAGTGGTAATTATCAAATACTAATTAAGTATAGGAATTGAGTTTTTAATGTAGCAAAAGTGAGGATTCCCAGCAGGATATATTATCCAGTGTCCGTAATTTTTTTTTTCAGAAAGCTATCACAAAAGTTCTTCCCAAAGAGTTACAAAAAACCCCTCTCTTCTCCCCAGAGGTTTCAAGGGAACAAAAAGTGTAGCTTGTCCAAAGGACCCTTTTGCTGCTGGATTTTAAAAGGGAAACAAAGACAGACAGTAGTGCACAAATGGCAACAGGAGGCTTAACCTGGTGTTTGGCTCAGCTGTTCTGAGATGGAAGATTGCCATCTGCTGGGCACGTTATTTAAACTCTAATTCATCATCTATGCTGTATTTTCTTCATTTTCATTTCATTTTCAACCTATGCAGCTACGGGGGTTGATAGATTTCACTGAAAAGCAAACTTGTTCCATGATCAGTAAGTTCTGCAATTTTAAAAAGTCTTCTCAAATAACAGACTATAAACATTAATCAGTAATATGCCTGACTGGGTACAAAGCAGGAATAACTTAGCATGCATTTTATATTTTTCAAAAACGAGTGTTATTTTTGCCACAGGAAAATACACTTAGAAGTATAAGAAATACTGCGTGTCATGAAAGTAAAATGACAGTATCCATTAAGTGGATAGGATTCTTGTACCTGTACAGAATAGGCAATGTTTACCAGAGCCATGAGATACTAGAAGAAGAAAAGTGAGTTTTACCTTGAAACTGAGGCTTCACCTCCCAGGAGTGAGATGCAAACCCACCAAAGATATAACCATCTAAGTCCTTTAAGATCACTATGCAAGGACCTTTGTTCACTATATGCCCACATAACTGTGAAAAGCTTTCTCCATGAAGCCTAGAAGAAAATAAAAGCTGCCACTTGTGCTGTAGCTCTGCAGGCAGATGGGAGTTGATGTATATGATGGATGGGATGTCAAAGAGACTGACAAGTCCTCTTCCTTTGATGCCTTTGCAGCCTGGAACCAGGTTGACTATGTCTTTGGTTTGGTCTGGGAGAGAATGCAGAACATGGAGGCCTTGCCTGATAACAACACTGAGGAAAACTGAGATCTGTGGAACTCGGTACACCCAATCCTCAATGACACTTTGATCAAAATTTGTCTCCATCAGCTGAGGACCCACAGGTTTTGTCCCATCTAAATAAGAAGACACACAGGAACAGTAGTAAGCCTCCCAGTCTGTACCTTCCCTCCGGAAAATAATCAGTTGATTTTTAAGTGTAAACACAATATTCATTATTTTAATGGACATGTAACCATGAAAGGAGCCAGAGACAGTAAAGTGTCAACTACATTAAGCAGATGCATCCACAGAACTGAGAAACATCTGCCTGTGACATCCATTGGTTGGGCCGTCATGACTAAAAAACAAGGACTCCTGGTTACAACATATGAGATGTTCTTTGCAAGACAGCAAAATCTATTATTACAACAGTGCAAAAGTAAACCTATGCTTTGCAAAAGGACATACAGTCATAAATACATGCCTGTCACCCGCAAGTCAGGTATTTGTAAAACAGACATGTTCCATGACAAATAGTTTTGCACGTCCATGTAAATCGGGACTTCAAACCAAAGCTCTCCTGAATTTAGGAGAGGAAGATGGTAAGGTAAAATAAATAAAATTCCCAAGTCATTTGCAAAGCACTAGGTTTGAAATACTGGTCTCACCATTTAAATTCAAAGATGGGGCCTAAAGTGAGAAATTCTTGTGAGATCAGTGATTACGTGAGCTCTGTGCCATTCTGGGATACATTACATCAGTGCTACTTACCTGCAAGCTTCAATTCTGACAGCAGCTGAGAAGCCAGAGCCTTTACTCCACTTGCAGAATCCCTAGTATTCTCCAAATTCCAACCTTTCAGTTCCTTCCTGTAGCTCAGTACATGGACTACAGACATGATCAGATCCTCTGTGAACTTGAAAGGTTAAAATATCACCATTTTGGCATTTCTTAAATAAAATTGCTTCAAAGGACTTTCTGAAAATAAAGTCAAGTAGTACTGATGCTGTAATCCCAATGGCAGAAACATGTCTTCTCATGACGAGTCAGAAATAACAGAAATGCTATTTCAGTGTCATAAATGCTGAAGTAAATGCTACTTCACAAAGCATCTCCATAAAATATGGCATGAAAGAGGGAGCAGAGTCCAAATTTTACAGTGGGAGGAGCTGCTAGTGAATTACTGTATTGTGAGATCCCACTCTTCCACCTTGCAACCTATGCATTTAATTCACACATCTATCCTGCAACTAAAGCTCTAGAAAGCATTTTGCTCAGTTCCCAGAAGCACCAGCCACACCACAACCCTTGCTGGCTTTTAAATACAGCCAGTCTCTGCACCCTTCAGAGTAAGCATGTGAACCATCAGACAAATCAGTCAGCGTGCTTCCCAAAATCCAGATCCTGGTTCTCAAAGTAGGCAAGTCAGCACGGAAAAGCCCACAGCTGAAACGGTCATCCCATATAACCTGGTTTGCCTACACTGTTGTCCCAGATCAGCAAGTCAGTGGTAAAGAGATTAAAAAAATACAAAAGTCAGGAATCCCTGTTCTGAATCTTGTGCTTTGAAGATTACCTGCAAATTACCTACCCATCTCTGTTCTTTTACTGTTCCCCCAACACATATTTAACTGCCTGTTTACCTCTTGGATTTGTTTGCCCTTCACAGGCCCTTCTGTCTTGGAGATCATTCTCATTATTATGGTAATCTTCTCATCTGCATTCCCTTTTAAGAGGTTTGACATAAAAATTACAAACTGCTCCTTCGCAATCTGTTCACTCAGCCCAGATGATTTCCCAGTCAGGTCAATACTTTTCATTCCGTTGCATAACCGAACAGTCATTTGCTCTGGTAATGGCTCCCGCATATACGCCTACAATGAGAAAAAGAGCAAATAACATGTTTTAAAAATGAAGAATAACTAATATATTCCAGCTAATCTGTGCTGAGATATACCGCTATGAATGAAGGATTTCAATACCAAGTATCTACTATCAGCAACAAACTTTTGTCAAAGGATTGGTTTTCCAAGAGAAAAAAAAAAAATCTCTATTTTTATAGTATCTCCTTCCCAATACAATTTAGTAATTTAAGTTGATACTGTTTTTCTACAAATGCCATGGACTTAAAGAAAACCAACACTGTAAAGTGTTAACAGGATATTAGCAAAGGATTTCTATATGATAACTCTGTTGTAAATGTTTACAACTCTGCCAGTCCAACATTTAAAATTGTGTTTTAACCCTGCTTTTGATAGTGGACCTCACAGATACTTAAAAACAAAGAGAAAGTAAAGTTCTTCCGTATCTCAGTTTTGGCCTCAAGACAATGCAGGCAATGTGTTTAACCCTACATGCACACGTAGAAACAATTCTGAGAAGTTTCCCTCTGCATAGCAACATCTAATTCAAGCATGGAACAAAACTGAGATAACCTGATTTTATAAGGCATCCCTGATGTTAAGACAGTCAAAATCAAAACTTATTCATCTAAATTGCATGACTGGCCCATTGAATTGAAATTTGAGTAGTATACATCATCCTACATCACAACACTGTGGGAAAGATCTGACTCCGGATTCAAGAAACTTTCACAGGGTTAAAGATAATTACACCGTTTAAAAATAAATCATCTAAAATACATCCATACACTAGGACATGATTACACAGTGTCTTCACTGCTCAAAGCTCTGTGCATAACATGCTGAACATCTGACTTGACTTTTTTATACAGGGGTGTAGCCCAGTGGGGACTACGCTGAAATCAATGGAGCTCCACCTGAGTAAAAGCACTCCAGCTCTATTCAGTGGAGCTGCTATTACCAATCTATTGCTGGCTCAATACCACTCCTATTGAAGCCACCAGGGCCATTCTTATTTGATGTTAATGGCTGTTGCTGTGCATGTAGGGCGAGATCCAATATGCCAAGCTCTACCCTGCTTTTGTTGACATCAATGGTAGAATTCCCATTGATTTCAGTAGAAGCAGAGTTAGCAGCCACAGCCTTGCACATTAGAGTGCTTCATATTGAGGAAGGGACGGTCACAGGGGGTACAGCTGTCTTTAAGAGGCTTTCTAAAAGTACTACATGAGCCTGAAACGATACAAGCAGCAGGGAACATAATTAAAACCACTATACTCAAGGGCTTTTTACTTCACACTGCAATATTACCCACCTACACCCTACCCTTTTCCACCCGCCACTAACTTTGTTGCACTGTTTTGTTATGCTTATAGTTATTCCAATGAGTAGACCTGGGATGCAAAAAAGGAAGACTGTAAAAAGGTAATCTTTAATAAACATCTAGCAAACTCACACCTCTGACAGTTTAGAATCCTTGTCTTAAATGGCTTCAACAAAGTATCTAGAGATACCTGCTCTACCTGCTTTCCAAGCTATGCAGTGCAGCCTGCTCTGGTCCAGAAGTCATGTAGTTTCCTTCTAGTAAAGCACTGAACCTAAGCAGAGTACATGAGGTTATGCTTGGGGCCCCGTCAATGTTACCAGACTGTTTCTAGATCAAATCTGTCACGTATTAATCTAGCTCAGGCATGAGCATAGACACCTACGAGGCAGGCATGCCATTGCAATAGTCCCTGCACTAATTAGGCACCTACAGGCAGTCTTTCAAAAGATTTTAATTTAAGTTGGCAAACAAAAAGGCAGGAAGGGAAAAGACAAATGTTCATCAAATGTCACATTGATCTAGGGGCAAAGCTAGAAAGAGAACTTCTTCCAGGTCCCAACCAAGTAACAAGACACCAAGGACCAGGTTCTTGGACATACTAGGGCTCAAAAGCTGGGCAGCAGAAACACTGTTTCCAAACTGCTGATAGCTCATAAACAGCCAGACTGGAGGAAGGCTGACGCTGGTCTGTGTGCAGATGCACACACTGAGGTATTGCTAAATACCTTAAAATAACCTGCTGCTTTCATTGAGCTTTAATTTGATTCCATCAACTGTGTAACATGTATAAAAATGCACTTTTAATACTACCTTCATTTGGCCGCTTGGTTCCTGCCTAACTGAAGTTATCAAGTATTACAACGAATCATTTTCCTCTTCTTTCTTGATTAGAAAATGAATGCAAAGTTAATCAGAAAGCATGATGTATGTTAATTAGCTAAAACGGGGAGCCACAGTTTAATCAAGCAAAATTGAATTCTCTCCTTTTAATGCAAGTGAAAAGATTAGAAACAGTGATGCAATTGAGGGAGAAAGATATTAACCAAATAGAAACTGACTTTGTGGCAGCTTCTCAAGAAAATCTGTAATAATCACATACTATAGACTCCAGGGGGAAGAATATTCTTCCCATTTTTCAGGTTTCTGTAAAAATATTTTCATACATCCCAACTTACTTCAGAATCAGGAAAGCTGCAAATTGACCCAGCAGAGCAATTTAAGAGATAAATACAAACCTGAAAGTCACTACTCACATTAAACTGTAAGAAAAAGTTAATGTTTTGGGGCAGGATGGATATTTAAGTATTAAATTGAGAGGAGCAATCCTTAAAAAGTAATTATTGCCACGTCTTTAGTTTCTTTCTGGAATTATGTTCAATGCACTACATCCCAAATATATCAGGAATAATAGATTTCTTGCCTGTAGTGCTGCCAGAGTCACAGTTTTCTTTGTAGCTTTGCCATTTTTTGCTCCAGCTGAGCCTCCCGATTCTGATAAGGTATCAAATACTCCATCAATGTCAGACTGCTCCTCAGGAAGAAATCTGGAAAGGTGATTCTGATAGGCATTGCTTTCTGCATTTCCCATCTTTTCAACCTGAAGCAAAGGAAAAGGAATATTAAAAAAACCCCGCAAACACAGAAAGGTATCACAATGGCTATGAAAGACATATCAAACAGACTCACATACCAGTGCAAGTTTTACAAGAAGAGGAAATTACTAGCCTTCTAGGAAACTATTAAAACTACTGTTTAGTCTCTGTATTCACTGAGACTTAATGAACTTGAAGAACATCTGTGAACTGTAACCGTACTTTTAAAAATGACAATCTGCCAGCTCTTTGCTAAAACCGCCCTGTCTACCAATTCAAACCTCATTCAAGTCCTATCAAATGGAAAAACCAATATGATTTAATGATTAAATTAGCTTGTACAAAGTGACCACGAGTCTTGTCAGCTGGAATACATCAGTAACATGAAGGGAATAGCCTGATTATGGATTATTTATGACAGATTATGCTACATCTTTCTGATGTATTAATGGACTGAAGCTAAGTCTGCCAATAATATGTGGCACTAAAACACCATCACTATGAAGTCTCTGAAGATGACATGAGAATGTTTTTTCTAAGGACGCAATACAAAAATCATTCAAAAAGCTGCCAAGAAACACAGTAACAAAAACATTTAGGAAGATGACTCAAGACCCATCAAAAGCACACAGCTTCATATGAAGTCAAGAAATTGTTGAGAGCTGGTACCCACAGAATTAAGTGTGTGGGGGGGGTGGTTTGAGGTTGGTTTGTTTTTACACATTTAATGGTACAACTATGATTTCTCTCACTGTCCCAGGATTCACCTGCATTAGGGAGAATAATTTTTTAGTGTTGGCTGCGCCACATGCTCTGCCTTTCTCCCTGGAGCAGCACGGCATGGATCTAACAGTGCCACAGTAGGGTCTGAAATCCCAAATTCCACCATGACCACAATGACAGTCACCACTGCAAAGGGCCTTCCCATCTATCTGGGGTAGACACGCTCCTGGGGTGACAATATAAAAATGATGAGAAGCAGAATAAAACATCCTTTCGCAGTTTTCTTTCCACAAATTCCATGTCCTTTCTGGCACCTCAGTTTTGGTTCGGGATTCCCAGTGCCATG